GGGGGAATTTTATGAATATCGAATGCGAGCGCCGTAGGCACGAGGAAAATTTTGAATTTCTAGATTCATTAGAACGCTATTTCACGTATTTTAGGACGAGGTTTGAAGAAAAGTTACAACCACAAAAAGGCATTTTTAAGTCGCCTAATGTTGTTAGATCGAAAAAATATTTATGTAAAACATAGTATTGTACACGCAAATACAACAGCAAAATAGCATCGGTCATGAGTGTTGCCTTGAGCGCAAATTCAAATTCAAATGTGCTTTAAAGCAACCATAGGCATTTTTTACTGGAGTTAGGATTCTAGGTAGGGAAGATTTCAACTTTTACTGGCAAACAGAAGAGATGGGTATCATTATTCACACATCGTACCCCCACCCCAATTTCTGCCCGGATTTCAGCTTTCCACAAGGGCAGTCCTTATGCCCATTGCAGAGCCCCCCGAGCCCCCATCTTGGCTACGCCGCTGATTTACTTCTGCCTTCCAAAGTTTCAGCTTTTACGACAAGACTAACAATGTACATTTTAACTTCAGCGCGGGGGCTTGAGGTTGAACTGTTGCAGCACGGAAGTTGATTAGTTGCTCTCTTGGTTTGTGTCAGTGAACTCTAATTTGTGTATGTCTAATTCGTTTTTCTTTGTCTAATTCGTCTTTCTTATGTTTATGCAACTTCGATTTCCAGAATGTCCACCTATTACTTTTATCGACACAAAATGATAATATCTTTCAGATTTTAGCCAGACCGACTTTTTCGTCCCATTCAGGTTTTGGGACCGACTTTTTAGATATATTTCACAAAACATGGGGGGTGTCACCCCCCCCCACACACACACACACACACACACACACACACACACACACACACACACACACCCTAATGTGCGCCCCTGGCTACACTGCACAACATGCAGTAACAAGATAAAAGTTCTAAAACCAAGACCTTAATCACAAATGCAATGATGTATAGCCAAGCTTATGTGTCAGAGGTCTGATAATCAATCAATAACGAATAAACTTACTTTATTATTTTAATGGGGGTAACACTATGAGATAAATTTTGTATTATTCCTCAAAGATAAATAACAAAAGGATTATAAAACAAACCCGGCTAATTTTAGCTCTTATCATGTGCCGAACCTTTTATGTAAGTGATCTACAAACTCATTTGAGTTCTGATTTGCGCTCATTTGCATTAAGTGCGTTACACGAAACGTTCGACGTTCGAACCAGACCTGATACAATTTATGACAGATATTGGTTTCGAATGCTACACTCTTTCCTTTTCTCAATTTATCATTTATTAACAGTCATATCATATAGAGTAGTATATATAGAATAACATTTCGTACTCTCGTACGGGACATATTTGCATGGGCTAACAAGCCATGTGATGTATATCAACAAAGGTCTAATAAATCTATATGTCTAATTACACGAAACATATAATAGAAGTCAAAGAAGGTCAAGTAGTATACCACACTTTCAAGTGTTTATTTAGCATGAACTTTCCAGTTTGTTCTTAGCCTGCGTGGCAGGCCATCAATCAGTTTTATGGGGGGCCTGATTTGCAGCGGGCAGGATTTTGGCGAGCACGGGGGGATTCTTGCAAATCAGGCGTTGATATTACCAATGAGTACGCAACTTTACAAGTCCACAACTCTAGCAGTTCTAACTGTCTGGCTCCTATAGGTAAAAGTTCGACGTTTCGCTACGTATCTTGCAAAATTATGAATTATTATTATTATACTCTAAGACAATTTTATTAAAATTCCCAAACTCGAGCCAAAATATACTTCAAAATCTGCGCAATATTTCGCAGAAATTATCCCCAAATGCTTTGATAGACTTGATACCGCAGGGATTTTCAAATCTCCCAAACCCTCGATCGTCTTACAATAAGCCAATTCGGATTTTCCACTGGCACTGCGCATCCAAATGACGCGCATTGCGTTGGAATAAATCGCAGTTGAACTACAGGGTGTATCAAGAAAACAATCAAGCTGTTGTTGTTAAGCACAATATACTTTATGCTCCTGGGAATTTAAAATAGTTTCTAATCGTATGAAGGACTATAATTGCACAAGGAATTGTATATAAT